AACAATTTTTCAAGAATGCTGCTGAAGACTTTGACATCACTGCTATTGATGTTCCCCATGAACCATCTCCTGAATATTCTCTCCCAGATCCTACTCCAGTTGAACAAGTCTATTCTAATGACCTTGACATGTGTCTCGGATCTCATATCATTACGGATACTGAGGCATATGATCCAGACTTATCCAGATGGGATCTTAACATGGCTGTGGAAGTTGTAGGCCACATGGTTCATAATCCCATGTCTCCTTCCTCTGGTCAACTTGCCCCGTGGTATATTGATGAAATTTCCAATTACTAACCAGACTGAGTTGAGTCAGTCAAGATTCATGTAAAACTTCTGACATCTAATCTCCCCTGCACATGTTCTGTTTGCAATTGCACAGCCCTTTCTTGCCAGCGAGTGGTCTCATCCCTTCGGGAACCATGGCAATGGAAGAACTCAGACTCTTATCAGAGGTCGATTTCCCTTCCCCCTGCTGAGCAGGACAGGATATGTCAGAGTGGTTCCTGTGAACCCTCAGTATGAATGGGAACTTCCATTTTGCCTTGTGAGAACATGGTGGAGAATCGGAATGTTAAGGACAATGGCGGTTCAGCTTCGCTGACAGAACGGATTATTAATTTCACTGCCCCTTGACTTCGAGGACAGGATTGTGGAAATGGAGAATCTCTCTGAAAATCCGTACTATTAAAATCTTCTAAAAAGAAGAACTGTCCTTTGTCATTATCACAATTTCATGAATCTGTGCCAGAAAAACCTGTATGTAAACCTTTTCATATAAAGCATAATCCAGACATCGAGTATGATCCCAACGAATCTGCCTCTGGGTACTTACCTATGCAATTTGATGGTCATGACTTCGATTCTTATGACTGCTACCCTTTGGGTGTGCCTTTGTCATATGCAAATCTCAAAAAGAACCTTCCAAAGGGTGAGTCTTTATGGATGTTGGACTCTGGAGCATCACATCATGTGACTCCTTTTAAAACTGATTTCCTCACTTATCGAGAATTTAAAAATCCACCTTTGGCCTCTACTGCTGGCCTTAAAAAGGTTCAACTTCTTGGTGAAGGAACAGTGGTTATTCGCCTGGAAAATGGCAGTAACCTGCCCTTGCATAATGTTGTTTACAGTCCTCTTTTTTCAAAGAGACTATGTTCACAAAATGTGCTCCTCAATAATGGGTATAGGAGCACTGCGACACTTACTGGTGAGACAATCAGAGCACCAGACAGCCGGATTGTCCTTGAAGCGAAAATAGCTTCTCCGACTTCACCTCTTCACTGGTTTGTGGGTGTACCGCTTCCACCTACCACTGCCTATGGGGTCCTTTGCCCTTTGGTCAAGGAATCTCAAGAGTCTCTCTGGCATAATTGCATGTGTCACCCTGCACAAGCAGTTCTCAGACATGTTCGGCAATTAGGCCTTAAACAAGAAATACAAATACAGGGGGAGACTTCCTCTTGTAAAGGTTGCACACAAGGCAAATTGTCTTCCAAATCTTTTAAACCATCATGGAAATGAGTGACTAAACCTCTTGAGTTGGTCCATGCTGACCTTCTTGAATTACCTGTTGAATCATATTTTCGGTCCAAATATATTCTAACCCTCTTGGATGGTTATTCATCTTATGGTTTCTGTCTCTACCTTTGCAACAAATCCAACACATATACTGCTTTTGACAATTGGATGGTGTCCATGCAAAATACTACTGGCCATCATCTTCTTGTGCTCCATTCAGATTGAGGGGGAGAGTTTATGGGTTCTACTTTCAAGGTGCTCCTTTCTTTGCACGGAATTACCCATCAGTTATCCATTGCTGATCAGCCTCAGCAAAATGGTCATGCAGAACGCTTTAATTGGACAGTTTCCAAAAAAGCTGGGACCATTCGACACCATGCTTGTATTCCAAAACGATTTTGGAACTTTGCCTTCGATTGTGCACTTCATGTGTACAACAGAACTCCTCTCAAAAGGATACTCTTCAAAACTCCTGTTGAGCTTTTCTTAGGGAAAGTTCCTGACATTTCTTATTTTCACACCTTTGGCTGCAAAGCCTTTGTATGGGTTCTGAAAGAACAAAGAAAAGATAAATTGGAACCTCATGCAGTTGAAATGGTTTTCTTAGGTTATGAACCGAGTACAGAAGGATACTGATTTTTACACGGTCAAAAGATCATTTTATCTCACACTGCAAAATTCATAGAAGACTCTTTTCCTTTCTGCTCTGATCATTCTCAAAAATCCGAAACCTTTGACTCCAGTTCCAAAGACGACCAAAAATCATTTACTTCCGACTCAGAAAGCCTTCATTCACTTCTGGATCCTGATCAGATCCAACCAGCGCCTCATCACCACCAACCACCTCATCCATTAACTCCACCACAACAAAACCCACAGCAGAGAGCTCCTCAACAACAAAGAAGAGCACCTGCTGCTGTACCACCAGTTGACCCTTGTCATCTTAGGCATCCTTATCAACCAGAATTTATTCAAGGTGACTTGTGCAATGTTCGCAGAGCTCAACCTCCTGCCGATGACAGAGAACCTTGTCCAAAGCGTCGTTTCATACCTGTATCTTGTCCTGGTAACATTTATGGAGACAGACCTCCTGTCCAAATTGAACGAGATATTCAACAAAATCAGGATCAAGCACAACAGTGGATTCATAATGCTGAGCAACATGCTCACAATTCCAGAGAAGATATTCAGAGATATGCAGAGGAAAGAAGACCTCCTTCTCCAAGGCTACCTCCTGCGCTAGTTCCTCCTCAGGTTCCTTGTCATTTGACAGAACATCCTCAGGGAACTACACCTCCATCTCCTGGATCTCCACTTACTCCTATTCCAGATACTCCTGATTCTCCAAAAGGAATGCCTGGTCAACAGGCAGAAATGCATCCTTTTGAGTTTGCACTTGCAGCTTGAATTCAAGAATCTCCGGAACATTACAAGGATGTGCTAAAATTATCTCCTGACTTACAAAAGAAATGGTTTGATGAAATGAAGGACGAATTAAAGTCTATTGAAGAAAGACAAGTATGGACCTTGGTGGATTCTCCCAGAGATCAGAAACCTGTAAAGTGTCAATGGGTTTTTGCTATCAAAAGCAATGGTCATTATAAAGCTTGTCTTGTGGCAAAAGGCTTCACACAAGAATTCAGTACTGACTTTGAAGATACCTTCTCTCCAGTGGCTTGATTCAAAACAGTTCAAATCTTACTCACTTTTGCTGCCCAAAGAAATTGGGATACAGAAGCCCTGGATGTCAAAACTGCCTTTTTATATGGCAATCTTGATGAAGAAATTTACATGGAGCAACCAGAAGGTTTCAAAGTTCCGGGTCAAGAGCACAAGGTTTATCGGTTGCTTAGAGCCCTCTATGGCTTAAAGCAAGCAGCACTAGCATGGAATAAAGCCCTTCATCAATCTTTACTTCAAATGGGCTACACATGTTCTAAAGTGGATGCTGGGGTTTATATCCACACATCAAAAGCTGGCATTGTCATCTTTCTCGTCTATGTCAATGATGGACTCTTTCTAGGATCGGACAAACATCTTCTCAAAGCCAAGAAAGAACAATTCATGAAGAAATGGGAATCCCGAGATCTTGGTGAAGTCAAGGAATACCTTGGCATTCAAATTCACCAAGATAGGTCAAAGAAAGAAATCTATCTCGACCAAATACCTTATGTCAAAAAGGTTATTAAAAGGTTTAACATGGAGACTGCTTGAAATGTTCACACTCCATTACCTTCAGGATATCAACTGGAAAAAGCACCATCAGATTACCAAGCCACATCATCACTCAGATCCCAATATCAATCCATTATCAGGTCTCTTCTATATATGGCCCTTGGAACTCATCCAGACATTGCCTTTGCGGTCATTTGCATGTCACAATATATGGCAAATCCTACTGAGGATCACCGAAATAAAGCCTTGCATATAGTTTGCTATATTGCATCTACTCCAAAACTGGCTTTATACTATTCTGGACTCAAATCTTGGATCTATGGCTTTGCAGATTCTGATTGGGCTGCTAATAAAGACATGCGGCATTCTACCACCAGTTATGGAATGTTCCTTGGAACATCTCTCATTTCTTGGCACTCAAGAAAACAGAAGACGATCACACTTTCCTCTACAGAAGCCGAATATATGGCTCTCTGTGATGCTGCACATCAAATCAAATGGCTACATATGCTGTTTGATGAACTTAAACTCAAGACCGATAAAACTATCCTTTACTGCAATAATATGGGAGCTCGCTTTATAGCTGAGAGTCCTGTATCGGATGGTCATTCTAAACATATTGATGTCCAATGGCACTTCGTTTGCGAATGTGTTCAAGATGGTTTGTTTAGTATTGAATATGTTCAAACTGACAAACAAAAAGCAGATGGTCTTACAAAATCTTTGATGTGGCAAAAATTTGAAACTAATTGCTCGTCAATGGGGTTGGTTACCCTACCGTTCTAGAGCGAGGGGGAGTGTTGGAAATATCCTATATGTTCCGACGTCTAGATTGATCCAGACTTACATGTGTATCAACACATTACACATCACATGACTTGCCTTAGCAATCAGCTCCACAATGATATCATAATGATGTCATCTTATACGTCATATTCCATAGCATTCTGCACTATTCCTTACTATACATAGTAGTAGTTTCCTTATACGCTACTGGTCTGTGCATATCTACTCATGTATATAAACTCGGGGATTTTTCCCCTAACATCATCGCAATCCACATTGCTTTCTTCTGTCTATATGACAAACTGAGCCCCTACTCACTCAGAACTACAGTTGCTAAAAATCTACAACCGTTCTACTAAAAGGCAAGTGCTTGTGTCTATATTGCTCTTCGTTTCTCCCGTTCCTCTGCACAATAGCAAACAGAATCAGAATCTGGAACCATCTTCGTTTGTAGATTGGCAATAGCTAGAGCAGTATATTAGCCAGAAAGCGGTGAAGTTTTTCATAGTCCTGAACATGCCGGCTCTGTCTCTGGATCGTAAAACCAACCCATTTTGGAAGCCAAGGCTGCATAGTGGAGCAGGGATAGTGAGAGCAGCAAGGGGACGAAGGGGAACGACTGGTAGGGGGGGATAGGGGCTGCCCCTATCACCCCTACCCTAAACGACTACGAAGTTGGTGTGCGGCACGGATTAGAACTCATCAATATCCTCAATGACGATGGAACAATAAATGCCCATGCGTGCGAGACATTCCAGTTAGCATTTTGGTTCCGCTGGGACAATGATATTGACGGCTTGCTAGGGTGTGAAAAGATTCCATGTGAAGAGAGGTTGTTAAAGTGCTCGTGAAGGCCGGCCTTTTCATTGAGATAAAAGACAATGCAATGCAAGTTCCCATTTGCAGGTACGTAGTACCGTGCATCACTATACCCCGCTCGTCTCAACAAACGGGAGCAAATCTGGAGACAACATCGAGCCAATACTGAAACCGCAGTGGTGGGTAAATTATATACCACTTGCGGAAGAGGCAATCAAGGTATTAATTACGAGTTGTCCTAGTGGAATACCGCAACCACCATCATGTCGTCTTCCTCGCTCTCAAGTGCGGTCGCACTGGGATGGTACGATACTGCCCGCTGTACAAACTGACGGCTACCCTCCTCCCTCCTTGTAGGTGCAAGATTCGCAGGCACATGACAATCGCCGTGCCTCCAGCACTGAAACACACCGTGTCCGGTTTGTGTCCTCCAATGTCCTTGGCGGATTACCATCATTGACAAACGGGAAAGATGTCGATGTTATCGCGCTGCAGGACGTCGAAAGCGAGGTAGATATTGGCGGATGAGCGCATGCTGACAGACATGCTTGAGGAGTCGATGCGGAGTCTTACATTGGGGGAGCGGGTGAGTTGAAGGGTCGAAAGCTGTGAGGACTTTCAGAAGGCGAAAGAAGAGATGAAAGAGAGTTCTCTGTCGGCTTATATACTGATGGTGGATGTTGCTTCTTCCACATGGATACAGTTATTTGCTCTTGCCGATGGATGGTGGGTATGGCTTCTGCTGGCTTTATCACTGACCGTGTCGTTGTCTGATCACCATACGCATCAATCCATAGAACATCCGACAAATGCAGACATGTCACACATCAGGTTCACTCCTGGCAGTCTCCAAAATAGCGCCTATTTCAAGCTGAGAGATACCTAGAAGTCTGTCGCAAAATTAAATGGTTTCATTTAGATATGACAACAACATACAACTTGAAGGAAACTGAGTTTGCCACCTCCGCACTCTACACACTAGTATAAATTCCGAGTCACCCCTTCATTGTGAGTTATGGAAGCCTCGGTATGCTTGTGGTGGAGTCCTCAGATCCTCGCGCGATGTTTGATATGGGTGCCTCAAAGATCCATCAGTATTCCACCCAGGTTCTGCGTATGGTGGTGGTGGTGGATTGCCGGAACCATTATACATGGGAAAAATCTCTTTTGGATACGCAGCCGGATTATAAAATGGATTGAGGTAGGACCCATTCCCGTCCACAGGGGTAGGTTGCACGTTACGGATAACACGCGCTCGGATAACTGATCAGGGAGGTTGACACAACATCTTAGTGGAGTGCTCCTTTGGTAAAGACCGGGGAGATTTGCGAGTACACAGCCTAGTTGCAGGAGAAAGGGCAAATAAGATATATGTGCAATGATTGACGAGAAATGATATTCCGAGCACACAAGATTATTGAGATCAGAAGGAAGACTAGCGATATGCAGGCAATCAGAATCTGGAACCATCCTTGTGTGTAGATCAGCAATAGCTAGACACATAGTGAAGTCACATTTAGTCACAACACATGGGCAGCCTGTGTGCCAAAACACCAATGCTCATATAGACCCCAAGACAGGCCCACCTAAATAGATTAGAGCCAGTACACATGGACAGGCCTGAGGGACTAAAGTGAGAGCAACATATGTATGGGCCTGTAAGTGCATTACCACAACATATGGGAGGGCCTGTGGTGGGTAAGGATGTTGAAACATTTAGATGGGCTCGTGACCAATTAAGTATACTGAGTTGCTGTAAGACATGGACAGGCCCATCCTGGTAGGTTACCCCCCTGTTGCAACATCAAGGCAGGCCTGCCTATCATAACATGGAGAGGGTCACAACATAAGGATGGGCCTGGGAGTAATATCATTTATGGTGTTGCAACATCTAAACAGGCCTGTTCATAATAAGCCATACCCCTGTTGCAACATAAAGATGGGCCTGTCAGTAATGTCATTTCATAATGTCACAACATATAGATGGGCCTGTTGACAGTAAGATGTACTGCTGTTGAAACATAAAGACAGGCCCATCACTAGTATCATTTAATAGAGTCACAACATAAGGTCAGGCCCATTGGTAGTATTGTGCAACATATGGATGGGCCCATCCACAGTAAGATGTACCTCTGACAAGACATAAAGATGGGGCTGTCAGTAATCTCATGTATAGCATCACAACATATAGGTGGGCCCTTCAGCAGTATTATTTATATCATTGCAACATATGGGTGGGCCCAGCCCCAGTAAGATGTACCCTGTCGAAACATAAAGACAGGCCTGTCACTAATATCATTTAATAGAGTCACAACATATGGATGGGCCCTTCAGTAGTATTATTTATATCGTCACAACATATGGGCAGGCCTGGCCCCAGTAAGATGTACCCTGTTGAAACATAAAGACAGGCCCATCACTAATATCATTTAATAGAGTTGCAACATATGGACAGGCCCTTCAGTAATATTCTTTATATTGTCACAACATAGAGACAGGCCCATCAGTAATCTCATGCATAGCATCACAACATATGGGCAGGCCCAGCCCCAGCAAGATGTACCCTGTTGAAACATAAAGACAGGCCCATCACTAATATTGTTTAATAGAGTCACAACATATGGATGGGCCCTTCAGTAATATTATTTAGATTGTCACAACATAAAGATGGGCCCATCAGTAATCTCATGTATAGCATCACAACATATGGACAGTCCCTTCAGCAGTATTATTTATATCATCACAACATATGGGCAGGCCCAGCCCCAGTAAGATGTACCCTGTCAAAACATAAAGATGGGCCCATCACTAATATCATTTAATAGAGTCACAACATATGGACAGGCCCTTCAGTATATTATTTATATTGTCACAGCATATGGATGGGCCTGTCCACAGTGAGATGTACCTCTGACAAAACATAAAGATGGGCCCGTCAGTAATGCTGTTTAATAGTGTCACAACATAAGGATGGGCCCTTCAGTAGTATTGTTTCTATTGTCGCAACATATGGATGGGCCCATCAGTAATATCATCTAATAGTGTCACAACATAAGGACAGGCCCTTCAGTAGTATCATGTATATCATCACAACAAATGGACAGGCCCATCTAGCAAGATGCACCCCTGTTGCAACATAAGGACGAGTTTGTGTATGGTATTCTTAGGCAGCAGAAAGGGAGATCCAAGCTATCTACATAAGGATGGTCTGTGTAAGGCATTCTCAGGCAGCAGAAAGGGAGATCAAAGGGATCTACATAAGGACAGGCCCATCCATGGTATTCTCAGGCAGCAGATAAGGGAAAACAAAAACCAGCATTGCAACATAAGACAGGCTAATCTGTCCATTGCAGGATTACAAACCCTTGGCACTGCATAAGACAGGCCAATCTGTCATATCATAGATAGCTCACCACAAATGGACAGGCCTATCCATAATTGGGTTATCCCCCTGTCACAATATAAGATGGGCCCAGGAAGACAAGAAATGAAGAAAGTGGAACCTCTCACACTATAGAGTATCTGGATTTCCCACTATAAATTGTGTTTCATGTTGGACGATTTGCCTATTTAGTTGGAATCTCAGGCACTGGTCTATGTAGCTGCAAGCCAGGCTCTGCCATTGGAGCAGACAGAAAACACACAAAACAAACAGTAATGCTATTCCAGAACAATGCATCATATTTTTATCTGAGCTTCTGCTTCATATATGCATTCAGGATTATTGACTTGTAGTACTGGTATTGCCATCATGCCATGGGAATCATTCATAGGTGGGATAAAAAATGCAACATCCATGTATCTCATCATCCATCTTTAACCTCTGACTCTTCCACTCTCCAATCACCATCACCACTCTCACCATCAAACTACTCCATCGTCTCATCATCAGAAACATGTCATTGTTGTCATCTCACAAGCTCTTCAAGAAATCACCTGAGCTTGATGCTGCAGCCAACTGCATCCTTCAAATTTACTTCAAGGATATTGTGGAAAGCAGCAAGCTGGGAAAGGCAGACAAGATTGCAAAGTGGAGAGGTGCCATCAAGGCGATAAATGATGAACTAGTGCATCATAGCATCATCACATTTTTTTCACTAACTGATGCATTCAGGATGCTGTACATGACCTCATTGCTAGGATGGATGAGATTCTGATGACCCTCATCAGTGTCGATACATTCTTAAAGTGGCATGAAGACCTCAGCTCAATTGAGCACCTATGGCCTGAGTGGAAGACTGCCCTATCCCCTTCCAAAACTGACATCGCCAACCACAAGTGGCTTGACATCATTGAGCATTGATATGACTACCACTGGTTGGGCCTCCCTATGCCCCATGTTGTGCCAACACCAACACCACCTGCTCAAGAGACTGAAATGCCTATGAGCAACAAAGGAAAATGGAAAGAGACTGAGGCAGAGGTGGAGCAAATGATAGCGGATAGCTCACACAGGATGGAGGTGGGTGATGAGGGTGAAGATGAGGTGCCAGAGAAGGAGGATGATGAGGAAGAACCAGTGCAAGGCAGGCAGAAGCACAAAGCTGCTGTGAAAACAATGTCCCATCAATCCAGACATCAATCCCACTCTAGGAAGGCAACAGTGGAAACTGACAATGATGAAGATGTTCCTGCTTGAGGCCAATCAAAACACAAGCCTTGTCCACTGTCAGACAGACTATATGGTCGCACTGCTGTAGCTGCCAGAAGGATGCCTTCCCCCAACCCCCATTCCTGCAACTCATGCTGCAGACACAAGGTCTGATGCTACAAGAACCCTGGGAAGTCCTGCTTCCTGTGTGATGGTCACAAAATTTGATGTAGCCATGCCAAAGGCAGGATTGCCACTCCAACTTGACGGAATCCATCACAAGCCAGGGGAAAAAAGTGAGCTCAAAGTCTGTCCCTGATGATGGAGGCCCAAGAATCCCAAAGTCCAAAGGAACATCCCCCAAAGTGACATGTTTTGATGGCTTCCAAAGCCATCAATGCTGGGGTTGGGCCCTCCAACCAGCAAGAGACAATCCCTGAGGGATCTTCACTCAGTATGTTCACAATTTCATGTATTTACACTGACTCAAATTTTATTTAGAGATTCATATTCCTGCATTCAAATGCAGGGATTCCCACCCAATCCCAGCCACTGTACAAGCAGATTTGATCATTGAGGCTGGCCCATCCATTGTGCAGGAGGTAGAGGGATCTACAGCAGCAGGTACATTTAATCAATCTACATTTATGCTAATTATCATGGTTAACCCTTGTATTCAAAGCAGACACCCACCCATCAACAACAGCAGCACCCATCCAACTTGCAACCACTGCAACTGCCAGTGCATCATCACCCATCTGTGCCCCAATTGCTGAGGTGTTGCAAATGTCCAACACAATTGAAGAGTGAATTGAAGATTTGGAATGTCAACTCCATGATGCTGAGGCCCACTGCCAACACAATGAGGATTGAATGTATGATTTCCAAATACAACAGGATGAAACCATGCAGATGCTGGACAGGATGGCTTGTGAGCTAGAGGCTCTGCATATTCAGGTATATGGATGAGCATTGGGTGACAATCTCATCAATCTCTTAGGGCCTCTGGCAGATGAGACAAGGGCAGATAGGACAGCAGGGTGAATGAGGCTGTCTATCATTTTACTCCTCCATGGTACATACAATGTCATTTTGTATTTCCATTTCAATTGACCACTCATGCTGCATTGCATATTCAAC